ACCACTGCCCGGCTCTCTCTCTCTCTCTCTCTCTCTCTCTCTCTCTCTCTCTCTCTCTCTCTCTCTCTCTCTCTCTCTCTCTCTCTGTCTCTGTCTCTCTCTGTCTGTCTCTCTCTCTCTGTCTCTCTCTCTCTCTCTCTCTCTCTCTCTCTCTCTCTCTCTCTCTCTTCTTTTTTTTTCAAGACAAGAGTTCTCTGTCCCTGCAGTCCCAGAACTGCCATGTACCAAGCGGTTCAGGTTGGCCTGGAACTCGGAGATCTGCCTGTCTTTGCCTTCCGAGTGCTAGTTTTAAAAGGCCCGTGCCACCACCACCCAGGAGGGTTTAAAAATTTTTTGTTTTTTTATTTTGAAACAGGGTCTAACTCTGTAACCTTAGCTGAATTTGAACTGAGATCCACCTCCCTTTGCACCCCCCCTCGGATTAAAGGCAGGTGTCACTAAACTCTGCTAATTTTAATTTAAAATTAATTTAATTTAAAATTTAACTTAAAAATTATCTTTTGTGTATGTTTGCCTGTATGCAACATGCGTGCCTGTTGGGTCCGGAAAAACTGGGGTTACAGGTGGTTGTGAGCCACCATGGGGGCTGCTGGAAATAGAATCCCTTTCCTCTGCAAGTGCTCTTAACTACTTACACTCCCCGGCCCCGCCCCCAACAGGGTTTCTTTGTGTAACAGAGCCTTGGCTGTCTTGGACTCGCTTTGTAGATCAGGCTTGCCTCTAATTCACTGAGATTGACTTCCCTCTGCCTCCTGGGTGCTGAGATTAAAAATAAAAGTATGAGCCACCATGCCCAGCACTATTTAACTCATAATAAGGTTTAAATCTTAAACGAGAAATGCAGAAAGAGTTCGGTCCCTTGCAAACAAACTCCAAGTCTGTCTCTTTCAAGGCCATCTGACAAGTTGTAAATTTTTCGCCAGGAGATAAGTTCCTCCTTTGGATGCTTCAGCCACTTCCTCTCCTAGTTGGCTATTGCTGGAGGAAATACTGATTTCTTGGGGTCCATTAAAAAAAAATCTGATAGCCTAAGAGAAGAGCACAACTGTCTCTTTATATTTATTCTTGCCAGACTGGTCAGTTAGAAGGTCCAGTGGAATATAAAAGGCAGGAGGTCTTAGAATGAACGCCAGCGCCACTAGAGAGAGAGAGAGAAAAAAAAAGATAACCTAAAAGGAGATAGAGGAGCAACCAGCGGGAGAAAAAAAAAAGGACAGGATGTCGCAGCTTCCCCAAGAGGAGTGTGAGCAGGGTCGGGGGAGACCAGGACAAAGCAAAGAGAGCAAGAAGTGGCAGCCTTCCAAGGTCGAACTGAGTCTGAACTGAGCGTCAGAGCACCGGTCCCGGGAGTGTATTTTTTCCTGGGTTCCCCAGGATGAAGGGAGGCAGTTATCTAGATGGGAGGTGGTCCAGAGCTCTTTGTGTCAACTATCTGGGGTCCCACTGGGCGTGCAGTCCCCAAAGGCCAAGAAGGAAAAGGAGTGTATGGGCCCTTTAGAGCTCCAAGCAGCAGCATCCTCACGTGGAGCCCCAGAGGCTCCAAGTGACTGCGTGGGGAGCCCGGGAGAGTCCATCCCAGGTGAGGGTGACCGCACCCCAGTTACGGTCCGCGGGGAGCGCCCGGGCGCGGCCTGCTGGAGGCTGCTCGGTAACGGTACGCGGATCGCCTAGGGCCCCGGCGTGCTCTAGTGCCCGGAAGCAACGCCGCTTGGGGCCCCGCTCCGAGCCGGGTCCCCAGGCGGCGCGCGCTGTCGCGATCCGGTGCGAGTGACGTGGCGTGGGCGGGGCTTGAGCGGCCCGGGCGACGGCGCGACCGAGCATCCTGGCAGCTCCGGGCCACGAGGAGGTAACTGGCGGGGCGGAGGAGGTGAGGGGTGGCTCCGGTTCGGCCCGGGGGCCGTCTAGTGTGCGGCCGAACGCTCTGCGTGGCCTCCGTCGCCGCGTGCTGGGTGCGGGCCGGAAACCGCGTGGGGCGAAGGGCGCGGGAGAGACGCCGCGGCTGAGAGGAGGACGCCGGGAGCGTGGATCCCGGAGTGGACGGTGGTGTGAGGAAGACGCGGGCGCGCGCGCGCTCGCGCGTGTGTGAGAGGGGAGACCCTGAGTGAGTGGCTTTGTGAGTGTGCAAGATCCGGAGTGTGAGGGGGACTGGGTGTGAAAAACTGCGAGATGGCGAGTGTAGGGTGTGTGTGTGTGACGGAAAAACCCAGAGTGTGAGGAGAAAAACCGTGGGCGTGAGGGTGGCTGACTCTGGAGTGTGTGCGACCCTGAGGGGGACGGAGACAGTGGAGGAGGTTTGAGTGTGGGAGACACGAAGGGCGTAAAGACTGAAGGACTGAGTCCTCCGCAGCCCGTGACCGTGTGTGAGCCTGAGCGATCCTCCCTGGAGCAGTGAGAGGTGGCGAGGAGGAGGAAGCCGTTGTGCGAGGGACCGTGAGTGTGAGCAGGGCACAGACCGCAGGGCGGGCGTGTGAATGCAGGAATGCAGCTTCTTGGGGCTGTTGAAACTCTCCGTCTTGGGACCGAGAGTGCTGAGGTATTGGCGTTTGGGAACACCGTGCTCTTGTTGTGCCTCTTTTGAGTGTCTCCGTATTTTGTCATCTCGTTGGGCCATCTCACGTCACAAATGTCAGAAAATATTTGGGAAATATTCTGAAAATTCTGTACTGTGCGCTAAGCCAAAAAGGCTGGTCACCGTGTTGTGTAATGGGTCAGTATAAATAGAAAACATCTAATTTAACAAGTCTTGGAGAACCAATTGCAAACACTGGGTTTGTGTTGGAAAGAATTCAGTCTCTGCTGTTAATGGGGGCAGCGGGGGCGGGGAGGAACGACCCCTCTGTTTTGGGCAGCTGATCTAACAGGCAGTATGCTCAGCTGTTTGGCTTCTTATAGCTGAGAGCCGATTCCGGATTTGAAAACTTAGCAGGAGCAGATTTAAAGTCTGCATCTGCTTCCTGGGGTCATTTTTACCTCTTTACCTGGTGAGGTCCTTCAGGAAGCTACCCAGGCTTTCTATTTTGTTAAAAGTTCCATTGTGATTTCATACAGATGACTTTTGCTTCCCGACTTGGGTCTTAGGCTGTTTACTTGAGTTATATTTGATTTTTCTTTCCTGGCAAATATGTGGAAAAATCACAATCCTGATGGAGATAGATGGCCTTGGACAGTACTTGCCGTGCAGAGTCCTGGGTTTCATTTCTAGCACACCGAACCAGAGAGAAAAAGAAAGAAAGATAGAAACCATAAGCTAGATTTTTCTCTGCCTTTTGGAGACAGGGTTTCTCTGTGTAGCCCTGGCTGGATTCTTCTCTGTAGACAAGGCTGGCCTCGATCTCAGAGATTAGCGTGTCCCTGCCACCGCCCCTCCCCCGAATTAACATCTCTTGCCCAGCTTTTTTTTTTTTTTTTTTTTTTAAACCAAAAGTATATTCCAGTTATGTGATTGATCTACCAAGTTTCTTGGTAGAGGAAATTTCCTGACATTTTTGCTTTCTTGCTATAGCCTCTAGAGTGTGGATGTGTTTCTACAAAAGTTATGTAAATGATGCCCTTAGGACCTGAGACTCCAGAGATACTGTAGCAACCTAGAAGGGATGTTGTTTTGTCTTCAGAGTCAAGATTTCTAGCTGTCCTGGAACTCACTCTATAGACTAGGCTGGCCTTGAACTCAGAGATCTTCCTGCCTCTGCCTCCTTACGGAGGAAATACCATCTTGATGTTTTCTGTAAGTTAATTTTTTTGATAAGTAACTAAGAACTTATTCTTTGTTGCAGAGATTGAATGGCCAAAAGGAGAAGTAGAATTAGCCTTTGCTGTAAGGAATTATTTTCTCCTTGGTATCTAACCCATTTGTGATGAAACAACTTTTAAAAATGTGAATTTTTATTTAGTTTGGACAGGTGAATATTACCACTCTGTTCTTTATTTGCTTTTTTTTGGGGGGGGGTTAATGATTTATAAAAAGGAATCTGTAGTTATTTGCATACATTGTAGTAAAAGGGCTTAAAAATCATAGTGTTATGAAACATAACATGTTATTAGTTGTGTAAATAAATCATGTATTTATTTTAAAATTATGTATTTTTTAAAAAATTTCTTTTCAAGATAGGGTTTCATGTAGCCCAGGCTACCTCTAAACTCTGTAGCTCAGGATGACTTTTAGCATCCCAAGTGCTGGGGTTATAGGCTTGAGTCACAATTTTGTTTCCTATTTTATGTTTTCTGGTGGTTTTTTTTTTTTTTTTTTTTTG